TAGCACGTTAGCATTGACCCAAAAGCTTTGCGTTGAGAAGCCAAGAGAGTTTTCGTGAGCTTTCATCCTCATAAAAGTAGAGGAACTGCTGCGGGTGACCGAGTTTGATTTTAAGCGTCCAGAAAACAGGTATTCCCCGGGGAAAACACCAGAGAGCGGTGTTTATTTCCAACCCCATCTCATGAAAGTGTGTATAAATAGTACGCCAAATAAAAACGAAAACTCGTGGTATTGATATGCAAAAATGGACTTTGGCGTGTATATGCTACGCGATGGATAAGATTAGGGTTGTGGGGTAGATGCATATCATATGTACACGAAAACTGCGTATCATATGCACGGCAACAAATTTCGTATCATATGCACGCAAAAACTGCGTACTATATGCACGCCAAACACGTGCGTATCGTGCATGCCAAAGTCCATTTTTGCGTATCAATACCACGAGTTTTCGTTTTTATTTGGCGTACTATTTATATGCGCTTTTATGAGACCGGGCTCTTATTTCCAAGTGCTAATGCCTCCTGAGTGATTCAAATGGCTGATGTGATAAGTCTTCTTTGATTGGGTACAAATAGAGGCCTATTCAACAGAACCTCTTAGCACTGAGACATGAGTGACTTTTTAACCTCCAGGAATTAAGAAAGAGTACAGGATGGTTTCCAAATCTCCTAGCACCTGAGGGAAACCAGTACAGGAGACTAATCAGGACCATTAGCAGTGAGACGGGTCCGACCGAATGGTGCAAGGTACAATCACTGCTTTTTTACAGTACTTTAGTGAGGGGGCATGAGGTTGTATCAGGCTGGACAGAAATAGAGATCTTGTGTCTGTTTTTGAAGAGCATTGAAGGACATTTTCAGAGTGAGAGGAGAAAATGAGGCTGTTTGCTTCAAAGGAAAGTTTCTTCAAAGATTTCAGTATAAATGTTTCAGTGCCACCAGTCAACTGATGATCTTTGATTGCCGAGCACCAAATGTAACAAAAAAATCAACATAAAATTGGTCCATAAAATGTCTGTGCTATTTATAGGTCTTTTATTAATCTTCTGATGTGATACAACAGCATCATAATCAGTATGATCTTTTGAAAATTGACAACAAACCTGCTGTATTACATATTGATGTGGCACATTTAAATGTAATAAACACAAATTTAAGAAATAAAGGAGATATTTTTTTAAATAACAATTTAAATTTTTTGTTTTGCACACAAATTCAAATGTTTTTATTGTTATTATTTAAAGAAAATAATACCTTTATTTAGCGCGGATGCAATAAATTGCTCAAAACAAGAGTTTTCTGAATGATGACAGAATTGTTCCTTTAATTAAAAATCATTTTAAAAAGCTCATTCTTTTAAATAATTCCTAATTTAAAATAATTAATAATTATTAATTAAAAAATAATTAAATAGATGTAGAATAAAATCCAAATTAGTTATAATATTTATGAAACTAATTTTTAGTTTAAAAACATTCACAAAAATAAGGTTTTGTCAGATATCTTCTGGGGACATTTTAAGGCTATGCTCACATATGCATTCTTATTAACAAAAAAGCACAGAACTAAAGGGCCCTCATTTTTCGACACACATCTCCACTGTGGGAAAGGTGTCGGGTTATTGACCCCTGAGGTAATCACAGTGTGAACACTTGGGACTAAAGTGTCTGCACCCTTCATTATCACCCACAGTTCACAGATACACACAGGTACAATAACACCTGAAGCCTCAGGGCTTTACTGCACCACAGGAACGCAGGCCTATTATTTCTGTTGCACAAGGTGCCTCCGCATGAGCTCGTCATGTCATCCCACTGAAACATTCAACTAATATTTCTGCAGCTGTATTAGGGGTCGAGCCTTAGAGGGCAGATTCGATGTCAATACAGCAAAACGGATAAAAAACAATAGCATGGTGGAAACAAGTTCACGGGCTCACTCAGACTCCACATCCAGTCTTGACATCTGAAATGCCTTTTATTTCCACATAAAGGACGGGGTGAAGGCTTCTGAGACAGTTGTGTGTAGACCTGCCTCCTCCAGAAGCCCCTCTCTGCCCCGCGCTGAAAAGATAAGTTGTCGAAATTGTCAGAGTTTGCCTGGAGGGAGACAAAGTCAGGCTGCTTTCATTTACAGACATCTTCCATTTGACCTCTGCCAAGTCGTCTTTGAAAACTGTTTTATTGCAGGTCGGCGCGAGAGAGGAGGCAGGGGTGAATGGTTCGGCCGTGCTGAAAAGGACAGATTCCCCTTCATTCTCCGGTTCTGTCCATTCAACCTCTTCAGCCCGAGCCCAGTCTCACCGGCAGGCTGCATTGTGACCGTAATGTGAATTTTGTGGTGAACATGGATTAAACAGGAGGCTAATAAAGAATGTGGCCCACGGGAAGTGAGCGACAGAAGTGCAGCAATGCGAAGCCTGGAATTAGCTTTTTCAATCTTTTTTGACAATAGCGGAATGACTTTTCATTAGTCTAAGGTTTTCAAATAACTTTGTGACGTGAGAGACAAAGATGTCTGTAAACTGACTGCTGCTACAGAACATTTCAATCATATTGATGTCCCACTTTTTTCTGACCATCCTATAGATTCTGCTGACCAAGTAGAAAGTGGTTCTATTCAAAAAGTTTGCAGAACTATGGGAAATTTGCTTCATAAACTTGTGTGTTGAGTTTGAGTTTGTGTCTTGTGTGTGTGTGTGTGTGTGTATGCACTACCATTCAAAAGTCTGCGGTCAGTAAGTTTTTTTTAAATTCATTAAGAGCAAATTAAATTGATCAAAATACAATAAAGACTTTAACATTGTTACAAAAACATTTCATTTCATTTCATATTTCAAATTAAATATGTTCTTTTGAACTTTATTTTCATCAAAGAATCCTGGAAAAATGTATATTGGTTTTCATAAAAATATTAAGCAGTACAACTGTTTTTTTTTATTGCTGATAATAATAAGAAATGTTTCTTGAGCAGAATCTGAATATTGAAATCAAATCTGAATATTAGAATGATTCCTGAAGGACCATGTGACACTGAAAAATAATGGCTGCTAAAATTACATTTTAAATGTATTCAAATAGAAAACAGTTATTTTATTGGTAATAATATTTCATATATTCTTTTTAATTCAGAAAACTGTGCATTTTTTGTAGCATGTTAGATTGCTCCACTTTGTTTGCCATCTGTGTGTTTTAACATTACTTTGTGTTCATGTTGTAGGAAAGATACATACCACAAAATCCATCCTGATTTCTCCCAGAGGTTTTCCCAAGCATTCCTCATGGGTTCAACACTCTCTATATCAAGCAGTCTGAGTGTTGTAGTGGCACAATTTTGCTATCACATTAACTGAGGGAGACACACACGTTCATTTCCAATAAATGGATGTCGTTAAGTTATGTCACTGCATGTCTTACATCAAAGAGAGCAGAAACTAATTTCTGTCTTTCTTTCTGAGCTACTCTGAGTAGTAGACGAGTTGCATGCTGATATTGTCTGAAAATCTTGTACAGGTACTTTTTCAACCTTTAAGCATTGGTATGCCTTTTATCTAAAACTCTGTGTCATGTATTAACACGCAAAAAATTTACTCCCTAATACAAGAATGTGTTTCTGCTTACAGACTGAGCTGAAGGGACTTGAATGTGTGTGTGTGTGTGTGTGTGTGTGTGGTGTGCAAATGGTCCTGGATAAATAAAACCTGAGGCTCTCTAACTGTAATTGCTTTGCGTTGCTTATGCATTTCAACGCGAAAGCCTGTTTGAAAGAAGCAGCAGAACTGGATGTAATGATTCCAGTGTCACACAAAACTGATTTTCAAGGCTCTTAGAGTTACTATCAGAGAGAAGATTTTCACTGATGCAGTCCTTCAAGGGAAAACACTGAAGTTAAAAACCTTTCATATCTTGCACAATGCTCTCATGTTCTGACCTTTAATATGTAAACAAATAAAATATTTTGGCCATGGGAAATTTCCACTGCTCTCATTTATAGACCTACTGTGAGTGTTTTAAGTGTCCTGTATCATAGATAGATCGATAGCTGGTTGAATAGTACATTACAATATACGTTACAATAAATAGTTTAGAGAGAGAGAGAGAGATAGAGAGAGAGACAGAGAGAGAGAGAGACTGATGGCTAGTTGTTAAATACTTTATGCCAGTGAATAGGATCTGGAAGTCTGGGTTGTTTTATTTTTGAAAGTTTTTTTGTATAGACTCACACTTTAATGTCTTGGCTATAAAAATCTATTGAAACACACACACACACACACACACACACACACACACATGTTGTGTTTCCATGTTTTATGGGGACATTCCATAGGCGTAATGGTTTTTATACTGTACAAACTGTATGTGCTATTGCCCTACACCAACCCTACCCCTAAACCTACCCCTTACAGGAAACTTTGTGCATTTTTACTTTCTCAAAAAATCTAATTCTGTATGATTTATAAGCTTGTTTCCTCATGGGGACCTCAAAAATGTCCCCACAAGGTCAAAATTTACTAGTATTACTATCCTTGTGGGGACATTTGGTCCCCATAACGTGATAAATACCAGGCATACACACACACACACACACACACACACAATGATAACTTGCCCCAAGCCTATTATTATATAAAAAATATGTCCCTGTCTTCAGAACATCATTCAGCCTTTAGTTAACTCTTGTTTAAATGTATGCTAGGGTAGTTTTATTGTGTTATTCAACAGCAAATATGCAAAATATAGGATTTTTTTTCTCATTTAAGGGGGTTATGAAAATGCATAAATATTGCATTCCACATAGTACCACCTAATGAAACATGAATGTAATCGCATTCACAGAGTTCCCCTGTGGACCGCTTGACAGTTCACTACAGTGGGTTGAAGATAATCACGGCAGCTCGCGCTGAAGGGGCGGTGCTCCAAGGTAAAGTCCCCACCCCATGGGCGTGTCGTACTCAAATGAGCGACAATGCATCCACCTGCCAAGCTGTTTAGGCAGCATTTGAGGCGAGCGAATGAGTGCGGGCTGAAGTGCGCTTGTGTTTGTAGATATTCAGACGGGCAGTCACGGCGCTGAAGCTGTTCACGGAGTTGTCAGGTGGCTTTTACGCTTCTCTAACGCGTCTTAGCTTGATATCCAACGGGATTTTAAAACAACTGTACCAAATGAACACTATAATAGAGAAGAAGAAGCACACCGCGCTCAGGTGTTCAGAGAGATAAGGACTGGACCTCACTATACCTGCAGGACCTGGGACATACGAACATAAACCAGAACTCAGACATTTCCTGGATTCATTCTTTGAATTGAGCTCAAAGTTCCTTCTGGACAGTTTGGAGCAAAGCAGGTAAACATTGGATTGCATTATTATTATTATTATTATTATTATGAGCTACATTTAAACGTCCAGATTTGATTTCTAAATGCAATGCAACTTTTTATTTACTCAGTTGGCTTTGCAGTGAATTCAGGTTCCTGTCATATCTATAATAATTATTTCCCGATATAACAGTCAGTGTTGGCAGAAATATTTTTTCCTCCATTACGCAAAATGTAATTTCTTGAATGTATTGATGTAATTGTTGTTTGCTGTATATGGGTAGTTAGTCAACATCAAGAATTTAGGTTAAAATGTGCATATATGATGTCAAGGGTCTTTTAACTGATCACCATTTTATCACCTACACAAGTTAATTTTAAATGGTTCTATATAATGATAAATTGATTTTCAAAAGTACAGTATTCCACATAGTACTTCAATGTAACGTGGTCCTAAACACTGCATGTATAGAATAAGTACAGAGGTAAAGTCACACCACAGAAACTGCTTGACGTTTCATGTTAATGTTGGTTAGATTAAGAATAACACATTCTCTGAACTTGCATTACCCACAACAGCTAATAATATCCCTGTATGCAGACTTAATAACCTTATAATTCTTTGCATTGTCACTTATTTCTACTCTCCACTGCGAGACTACGCTGCTTTACTTTGCACAGCTCCTTTCTTGCTGTTTCCCAGCGTTTTTCTAACACAAGTTAACCATACACTGAGCTATCCGGGAGCTCCTGTATATATAACAGCACAATAGGCAGTTAAGACAGAGTGAGAGAAGTTTATTTTCATTGCTCTGCTGGGAAGCAGGAAAAAGAAACAAAATACATTGTCTCCAGGGGCCAGAGTACATGTCTTTACAAAATAAACACCGCAACAATTTCACAAACTAGCAATAAACAAACACAATAAATGCAGATATGGGCTGTACATATTGATACTCTAGTGCCAAATAGGGTAAAACATGTAGAAAGCAAGAATTGCATAAAAATAAGTGAGATCAATTGACCTGTTGATCAGTCATAAGACTTGATTATGAATGTTGACAACTTGCATTTCCAGGAAGGCTGAATTTACAAGCCAAGTTCGATTTGTTGAATTATGAGTTGCTGAAGAGCCCATTCTATTCATTGTGTTTTATTAATTTCTTTAATTAAATTCATCATATTGGAATTTAAATCACAGTTTAATAATATGTGTTAATGCGGTAGCTGAGGAATTATTTTATTGCAAAAGTTGACATGACAGAGTGCCTCTTAATTGGGAGTTAAGTTTAAAACATTAATAAATCAAAAGTGTAACTGAAAGAATGAAATTTGAATGCAACAGCCTGAATGTTTCTTGCTATCCCACAATTTTTCACATAATATTTTGCCTGTTCTTTTAAAAAAAAAAAAAAGCCCTAAAAGCCATACATTTTGGCGTGTATGTATTGATCTATTCTTTCACTGTATTTGTGAGACTGTATCCATAATTGCTTGCCTCCAACTGTCTGTGTGCAGTTGTGTTCATATAATTGTTTTTTAATTTCACCGGCTTGTGTGAGGTAAAGAGGCAGAGATTTTAGATAAACAGCCGGACAGTTAACAAATTGCCTGCAAATAGCTGAGGTTTGAACAGCTGCTTCCACTCATAAACGCTCTGCGGCCAGGCAGCGCTTTTTTGGACTGATCGTCTTCCGCTAGTACTACTTTTCAGGTTTTTTAGATGTTTGTTCTTTCATAAAAAAAGGGTATTACGCATGCAGTTGTGATCAATGTCAATGCCATGTGGCTTTAGGAACGGTATCATTGATTAAGATATATCCACACCGATTTACGTTTTTAAGATTAAGTGTCACGCCACCACTGAGCAGCGTGTGTGCAGCCCCTCTATGGGTGGCAGCCTTGTTCCTGTCCATCTGAAAGAGATGGACTATGTGGCAGCAGTGGGGTTTGTCAACATACTCCCGTGGGGAATATCCTTTTGCTATATGTTTCAAACAAATGTAACCAAACCCTTATTTTTTGGTGAAATGTTTACTGTGGAGGGCCTCTTAGCTTCTCTTATTAAAGCAGGCAGCCCAGAGGTAAAACATGTGGAACTTTAAAATATCTGGAATACATATGGGCGAACAATATTTCAGATATGACATTGAGTGAATAAGAGAATGCATTCAACATGTATTTTCCTTTTTCTTTGAATATTTTAATTTGATAAGCTGCTGTGATCAATAATAAATGTTATAGCTGAAGGTGAGCAGCAGTTTTGTGAATAAGGTGCAAACCGTAATGAATCTAATTTACATAGAAAGGAAGCATGTTTATTAGTGGTCGACCGATATTGGTTTTTTGACAGCCAATGCCGATATCTTGGAAAGCAGGGTGGCCTATATAAAGCCAGGGTGGCCGATATAAAGCCAATATAATTTTATTTATTTTAATTCATATTTAAGAAATTTCAAATCATTTGAAAATTAATATTTAAATAAAATAAAAATATTTAATAAAATTATAATTAAAAAGGAAGTAAACACTTTAACCAACAGGGCACTCAGTATTCTGGGAAGTTTGTGTGCATTAATCATATTTTTTCAAATAAAGCCAAGGTAACACTCATTTTACATACAGCACACAATGAAAATGACATGAATATGACAGCGGGCAAAATTTAAAGCATATTTTAAAATCACGAGTTTAAAGTGTGTCGATCGCGCGTCTCCAGTGAAGCTGAACTCTCCTCCTGTCAGCATTCAATTCTCACGGATCGACCGTCACGCAGAGAACACACGATCATGCTGGATACAAATGCACACTTCACAAGATCTCACAACTGGATCCGACTAAGTTTGCAAGGTTTTTGAAATTAGATGTTTATTAGACATTCAAAGATTTGTTTAAATTATATAAATGCGTATTTGCTGAATGCTGACGGCAAACAAGAAAGTATTATAATGTTTGCCTTTCTATTACTAATAATATAAAAGCAATCATTATACGAATTTTTGTATACATTAATTCCTTTGTTTAACCGTTCTGTCTGATTATTAGACAGACTTCTAGCCGTATTTAGACAGAACTGTTAACGACGACGGCGAACAAGAGGGAGAATGTGAGCACTGTGTGCTCAGGCGCTGCCGTTCTCAGCGCCATCAAAATAAAAGTCCCACCTCAAACGCATCGGCAAAACAGGAAAACCGATATTTCGATGCCGATATTTAAAAAATGCCAAATATCAGCCTTGGCGATATATCGGTCGACCACTAATGTTTATGCTTTGAAGAATGACAGTGACTTAATTTGAATGCGCTGTAGTGCACTACAGTGTTTGCTGAAATATGGCATGCAAGTGTGCCAAATGTCAAATTCGCTCCGTAGTTGGTAACCCAAAGAAATATACTTTTTATTTAAGTATTTGCATCCTTTAACTTTGGAAAGCAGTAAGTGACATCAATATCATTTACAATAATGTGCTTTTTCTTCCCAGTGACCTCTTCAAGTGTGTCTTTCTGAATTCACCGGATGCACCATGCTGTTGGGCAGTCTATGGTCAGTCCAGGTTCTCCTGGCTCTATCTGTTCCAACATTGGGTTCGGACGGTGAACCTCAGAACGCCCCTCGGGTCTTCTTGTCCTTCAAAGGTAAGAGAGCATTTCTGTTTGGCTTCAGCTCCATTTGTGTGGCCTGTGGCTTTGAAGAACCGTGTGAATGTTCTGGAATATACTTTTCTCATGTGCTACCTTCTGGTTTTCATGACTGAATTTGATGAGTTGATAAATGTTCTAGGTTCGGGAGGAAATTCACTGCGTAGACGGATTCTCCAGTCTAACTGCACACCGAATGAGTAAAAACCGTCTGTGCGTTTCTAATGGCTTTCCTGTCAGACGTCTCAGATTTTTCTCAGCCAGCTGAGTCCACTTTCATTCTGTGTCAGAGTAATTAAAAACACAAACAAGAGTTGAAGAAACAGTCATTTCGAAACTTCAACACAAGTCAGAGAAATTCACAGAAAACCAAACATGCCGTTTCAATTATTTCGGTAGTATGTTTTTAAGTACATTTCTGAAATAATCGATAGCAGATGCAAAACAGGAGATGTTAGATGTTAGTGATGAAATGATGGCAGATGAGTCTACTGTTTTTGCACAGGGCCTGAACTCTCTAACAGATTAACGCTTATTCCTACAAATAAAGCTCCTTAAAAGATTTTTACAGTCTGATGCAGTAAAAGAACCTTTTTATGTCAAAATCAGTTCCATTCTGATCTGAAGAAAAATAATGTACACTCTTAAAAATAAAGGTTCTTTATTGGAATCGGTGGTTACATGAGGAAGAAGCTTTTCATTCGACAAAAGGTTCTTTAAAATGAAAAAACAATTATTCTTGAAAAATTGATTCTTTTAAGAACTGTTCACTGAAAGGTTCTTTGGAGAACCTAAAATGGTTCTTCTGTGGCACTGATGCAGTAAACCTTCAAATCCTTCAACTTTTTAACCAAGAGATCAAGTGAGTGAACTCAGTATTCTTATACAGTGAAAAATGGTTCTTAGTGAACCTAATGTGCTGCCAAAACCATTCAAGAAGCTTTATTTTTAAGAGTTCAATTGGCTAGGCTGTGTCTGGGATTTTAAGAAGCATCGTGTAGAGTTAAATTATCAAGATCTGCTACGCACATTAATATGCCCCAGGTCTAGGTCCGCCCTGCGATCAACTGTTTGAGAACAAGGACCAAGCAATTTCCCTGTTTGCCAAAGGCTCAGTGTCCCAGACCAGAATGCACTGGTGGACTTAATTACAAAAGCTGGCCTGCACAGTTCATTATTCAATGCTTTTTTCTGCTTTAATCAAGATGGATTTAACACTCCACTGAGCGTGTTTGTAGATCCAGTCGTTTTTGAATGATTTCAAATAATGCTCTCTTAGGAATTGCTTTTCTTCATGAAGCGGTGCTATGCTAGAACCCATCCCTTTACACAACCCACAGTCTTTGATTAGCTCCATGATGTCTAAATTGTTCTTATAATATATTGCTATCAGCAGGATCTAATGTGGTTATGGTTGAAAAGGTCATGGATTTGCCATTTTGTTTGTTCTCTTAGGAAAAAGCTGAGTTGTTGCTTACTTGCTTGCTCTGTCAAGCAGGGCGCAGCAGTATTTAGATTCTGCAGTCGCAGAGCTCTCGAGCCAAACTCACATTTAGCGCTTTTAATTGGTTTTGGAGAGTGGCTATAAACCTCATCATAAGACAGCACCTGCCGTCCACCCCAAACTGCAGGCCTACTGTTTTCACTCCATAGCGCCTCACAGCACGCACAGGAATGTGCTAATTATTGTCAAACCCACGCCCATTTTAAGATTTTAAACCTCCCTTCTCATCTGAGTTTGGTGCATTATATGATCATTGAAGCGTTTCTCTAAAACTTTCCTTGAATAGTTCTCAAAGCTTTGAAGATCTAAAACCCAGCCCATCTGTGTTTAAGTTAGCTGTGTCAAGACGTCAACCACTATTAGATACGTTATCAGTTTTTCCATTTGACAGTGCTTTTATTATCAGGAACTCCGTGACAGAAGTATACCAAGCCAAACTGAGCACGTTTGAGGCTCATAAAGCTAGAACGTCTGACTGTCTATAATACCTTAAATCGATTTGCTCTGTCAACCCACTTTAGGGGTCAGGAGATGCGACCCCCACTCACACGAGTGCAGCTCACTTTTCTAGTAAAGCAGTTCCACCTCACTTGGAGAGTAAATCAACATCTTTATTGTTCTTTAAGCTTTGCAACTTCCTTCCCCCTTCTGTTGAAATTCATCAAGGTCGTTTCCCATGATGCCAGCAGTGAGGGCTTTTAAACCAATGGCAGATGTTGTACCTTTTCCATATCAGTTTTAGAAGAAACCCAATCTTGTTTGGTCTGGTGTAGAAATGGATTGTCTTCGTAAATGGAATGACACTGATTCAGTGATGATCAATCAAACCGTTGACTGCACCCAGACGCCGTTTTCAGTCATAGTTTAGTTAATTTTTGAGCCATCGGGGGGTTATCGACCACAGTCACAGCTCATTTAATGTAAATCGATGCTGTTTGAATGTATGATTTAATTCCATGTCTCGTCCCCACCTTTGAAAGGTGACCCAGCATGCACAATTGATTTAGAGCCGTATGAGTCTGTGTCGCCAGCCTCCCTCCAGAGGGGTTCTGACCCCCTTCAACTACACACACACACACACAGACACGCACCCCAATGGGTGTTTAGACTAGTGTTGGCTTAACTTGTCCTGCTCATGCTGATCTGATGTCAGGATCACTGCTTTGCTAAAATGGTCCAGGACTGATTAGAGTAAGTTAACGCAGCTCTGGATAAGTGTAAAAGGATGATGTACCTGAAACGTTGAAGTTCCTGTGCTTGGAGGAGAATTCATAGGTAGCACCTTTGAGCTTGTGCTGTTGTGATGCAATACTGGAGCTCAAAGTTGACTTCAAAGCTTTTTATTGTATTTCTTTTATTTTATTGTGACCCTCCTTGGGACTGATTTGCAGCAATTCTGGGCTAAAAATGAATGAGATCAGTGTAGATTTCCTCAGAATTAAGTTTTTGCTTATTTAATTACTTAGTTTTTTATTTAATTATAAAGGATAGCAGATAGCAATTATACAGTTTTATTTTATAGTTTTTAGTTATAGTTTTATGCCATGAACCATCATACTGGTTACATTTAAAACAGGGGAAAATTGAGGAAAATTTGGTGTTGGGTCTCTGCCAGTTTAAGGTGGAGCTACCCATTTACAGATATAGGGGAGGAATTTGGTAACTGTTTTTGCATCCTGTTTTGCAATAGATTACATTTTTACCCTGATCTAAGAGCATTTACCTTTAATCCAATTGCTTGACTTTGTGACAAAGGCAGAAACTGTTGTCAGATCAGCAAAAGAAGGTATACTTTAGATTGCTTTGCTTTGAAAACCCACTGGTATGTGTTTATTTGTATCTGTTTTATTCAAATAGATGCTATTTTTACACTGACACCAGAACAGTTTATCTTTAATCCAATTGCTTGACTTTGTGACAAAGGCAAAAATACTGTTTGTCAGATCAGCAAAAGAAGGTATATTTTAGATTGCATGGCTTTAAAAACCAACTGGCTTATGTTTGTTTGCACTTGATATCAGAACTGATTCATGTATGACTTGGTCCTTGAATTTAGATTTTAACAAGTTTCACCAGTTCATATAAAGAAGCAGCATGGATCATTATCATGTCTATGAGTGGCACAGTTTACTGTATTAATCATACACCCATACATTAACATGCTAGTGGACACATTTCGAAGTTAGAAGTTTTAGAAGTAACAGTTTTTAAGTGACCCATTTTTCATTTATCAGAATCAAATGTTGGAAACTGGATAAAACCAGGGAGCCCATACCAGTCTCAGCTTATTTTTACTTATGTGGTTAACCTCTATATGCCAAACATGTGGCATTCATAGTAGCCTGCAAATATCATTTTTAATTTTGTAAAATAACTACTGTTGGTTTTAAGGGGTCGGTTTTGGCCAGAGTGGTGGTGAGCATTATACATCTCATTGACTATTACACCCAATACAGCAATAACAAATACAGCCATAATACACTATAATTAATGTGCTAAGGCCATTACACATGTGTCTGCCAGACAAGGAAATATCACTTATTTGATGAGAACGGAACCGCAGATGGACAGGTTATGGGCAAGTGGAAATGGTAATGGGTTGGCAGCAGACCTGTGTATGTCTAGGTACACAAAATTATTTTTAGGTCTTTTTCCAGCTAATGCACATGCACGTTCTAGAGTATTTTTCTATGTTCTAGGCTATGCTTTTGGCTCTTTTAATTCAAAGATGGTACTTCATTTCTGCAGCTGCCTTATTGAGCATTCATTTTGATTTGAGTGGACCGTGATCTCCCTCTTATAATGTCTCTGATTTCATCCAGTCTCTATAAAGAGTTCTGTGCTGTCATGTAAAATCAGGTCATTTGAAATGAAGTCAGTCGAGAGTGATTTGTTCTCCAGGCCTTTAAGTATCCGCTTTTATAGAAGGAACACTGGACGTATTGTGTTAGAGAGGGTAATGATCATTCAAACCTGGCATTGAGACCACATGAGGATCTCAAGAGGAGATCTGATAAGGATGAATAGACAGATGGATGATAAGGGGAAAAGAGCCATTTGGAAGTCCCTCTTTCTTATTCTCTAGCTCTTTTCTCTTTCTTTCCATCTAAGCCATTTCCTTGGAGGCTGTTCGGATTTCAGCAAAACACTCTCTTGCGACACTGGAGGCTCCAATTCACTTTGAGGGCCTTTGGCATTTGAGACTGTGAGACCGTTAACCCTGTGAGGGTGTTCCTGCCCTCCATGCACAAAATGGGTTAGGTCATAGTCCTGTATTAAAATAGCTGCTCTGGGTAAAGATACTGTAAGTTGTGTGGACTTACTGGCCCCTAAACAGGAAGAGTCCTTCCAATCGCACAAAGGGCTCGAGCCTGTTGACACGAACACTTCTAGTTTATCTAATCAATGATTTTTGTCAGCTGACTGATTGTGCTTCAAAACTGGCTGGGTGATATAAAAGTAGGCAAGGTTTTGTCGCTATGTTGTTAATGCG